CCACCACAAGATGACCAGGACACCATCACAACATGACCGGGACACCGCCACATGACCCGGACACCATCAAAACATAACCGGCACACCGCCAAAGCATGACCAGGACACCATCACAACATGACCGGGACACCATCAAAACATGACCGGGACACCATCACAACATGACCGGGACACCATCAAAACAGGACCGGGACACCATCACAACATGACTGGGACACAATCAAAACATGATCGGGACACCATCACAACATGACCGCGCCACCATCACATGATCGGGACACCATCAAAACATGACCGGGACACCGTCACAACACGACCGGGACACCATCAAAACATGCCCGGGACACCATCACAACATGACCGGGACACCATCACAACATGACCGGGACACCTTCAAAACATGACCGGGACACCATCACACGGGACACCATCAAAACAGGACCGGGACACCATCGCAACATGATTGGGTCACAATCAAAACATGATCGGGACACCATCAAAACATGACCGGGACACCAGCGTCACATGACCCGGACGCCATCAAAACATGACCGGGACACCATCCGCCCACCAGCTCTGACGGTGACCCGACGGCGCCCGTCCGCCTATTAGTTTTGCAAGACCCCATAGCATGGCTATTGGGGAAAAATCCAGGGACGCGGGACGCCCTATCCCACTTGTGCATCGCATCTTGGACGACACTCAATATCGGCCAGTCTGACCAGCTTGCGGAAAAAAAACGCCCCTACCTCACGTGTCCGCGTAAGCTTTCCAAAACGTTTCATATACAAATCTCAGTCGCCCAAATGGCCTATTTTCTTCCAAAACCCTCCCAACATGCTGGCAACTGCCCTCAGAGATCCTCTGCGTTTACATTCGACATCGGCTGAGACATTCCCCCACTCTCCCAACAAATGCCAAGCTACAGTTCTGGCAGGCCATGTGCGAAGGTACACTGCTCGCCCTTTTGACACATCCATGGATCCTGCATCCAGAACGCGCAAAGCTTTGTCGGACGCAAGGCATCCGGAAACGGTCGCCTCAGCGAAATGACATGGAACATGTACTGGGGCCAGATGACTTAGGCCAAAGTGGCCAGACATGACATACAACTTTGCCAGAGAAAGTGCTAAGTCATGTAGAGTGGAAAATTTTGCCACTTCATTTCACTGGCAGGCGTTCACGACATAGGCCAGTTTGACCCGGTCATCACTTTTTTCTTTTTTTCGTTTCCTCTTCCTGGAAGATTAGAGGTAATGAAAGGGAACATGTCATAGGAACGTCACTATGTCTTTATCCTTTGCAATAGTCGTATGTCATGGACGGTTGTGGACTCTCTTGCTCGATGTATGGGGCCTGATGACTTAGGACTTTTGCCTGTTTCAAAAACCAATGTCCTGGCGTTCTCTTTACTCCAGATTGCCAAGTCGGCAAACAGGAGACTTTTTTAGTGTGATGTCTGCTTACGTAAGAGCGATTGGACGCAGAGTGCTCACAAGTCCTAAGTCATAGAGGTCCTTGGCAACAATTCCACCCTTTTCTCCATTGTAGGTTGCGGAATGGTGCCAAGGATGCCTTGCCAGCAACGTCGGCAGAACAGGAGGAAATTGCTGCTCTCTGCAGGTGAGCCTTCATTTGAGATGTGATTGCTGCTTCAGCGAAGATGATTAGGTATAGACCCTTTTCTCCATTGTGGGTTGCAGGATGGTGCCAAGTATGCCTTGCCAGCAACGTCGGCAGAACAGGAAGAAATCGCTGCTCTCTGCGAGTGGGTGCGTTTTTGGAGATGTGATTTCTGCTTGGGTGAAAGTGATTCTGTGCACAGTGCACACAAGTCCTAAGGCATAGGGGTCCCTCTTGTTCAAGAATTCCACCCCTCAGTGTGGGTTGCAGGACGGTTCCAAGGATGCTTGGCAAGCAAGTTCGGCAGAACAGAAGGAGACTAGCGCTAGTTTTGGTGAGGTTTTTTAGTCTGGCTGCCGTGGCTGGGTTGGACAGATTTCGCCCGCAAAAACAAAAAACTTTAAAAAACTAGATCCCACGTGGGCACCCGGAAGAACAAAGTGGAATGAACGTAAAGCACGAGTTGAAATGAACCGGTTAGTGCGTCTGCAAATATTCCCCTTTCTAACGCAGCGAACAGAGGAGTAACATCGGTGGGTGGAACGAAGTTGCTCTTTCAGTACCTGGCAGGGGGCTAAGACGAAGGAAATCAAAACAAGCTAACGCATGCCATGTCGCGACATGTCACGATGAAACTCACATCACGTCACAGCTTATTACATGCTTTGATTTTCTTTGGCTTTTGTAGTGGGTTAGTATGAATATACTATTTATCTACCGGATTATCAACCATTTAGCTGCTTTAGCTAAGTCATTAGTTAAATAGTTAGCTAAGTGGTGAGCTAAAGCTAAATACTTAGCCGATGAAAATCACGCTGTGGAACAACAAGCTTGCTATGAATGCACTGAAGTGGAACCATCATTACACGCAATGGAAACAGGCCTTTGCCTGCCAAAAAAAATGTACAAGAAGCTGGTAAAGATTTCACAACATTTGACTTTACTTGGCATATGCTGGCAACGCCAGCCCCAAAGAAGCCTGTACTGGCAGCCAATGAGAAGCCTGTAATGGCAAGAAAGCTGCCAACAAGAAGCCTGTATTGCAAGAAAGCCTTGCAACAGCAAAGCACAATTTACCTCCAGGGCAGTGGAATCAAAGTTGTGACTCTTTGGTCATTATGCGCATACACACAACTGGACAAAACCTGGCACAAAGGAATTGCTGCAACTTGGCTGGGATTGCTGCGCCACACAGCATATGTATTCCTTGCCAATCTCCAGCAAAGACAACAAAGCCACCAAGCAGAAGCTTTGCCCAGCAAAAGCCACATGCAGTTGAATTTGTCCAGCCCGCCTCCCAGACCCATCATTGCTCAAGAGCACCACATCTCCTTGTGAGCAGGAAGCCCCATGCTGGAGCCAAGCTGTGTGACTTGTAGCGACCACCTTCACATCCACCATTGACCACAAGTGCCCCACTGTGCCAGCCAGCTTGTGGGGCAATTTGTGGTTGTTTTTTAATTGGTGCTCCATAACAGAAAAGTGCTTTCACCAGTCAGGGCATGTAACTCTTTGGCTGCAACTTCTTCCAACGCACTCTGTTCCAGCTTGCTGGTATTGGCAATAGCACTGCCAATTTGTGACCCAAATCGATGCTTTCTTTCCATTGTCCAACATGCCACCATGACCTTGTGGGTTTTGAACGCCTGCCCCAAACGCAACAACCAATGATGCTTCTTGATGACTTTCCAGCCTATGCCAACCCACAAACGCAATGCTTTTTCTGACGCCCTTTGGATAGCTTCGTTCAACTGACATCGACCAAGTTGCTTGGAGCAAGTCCACCAAAAGTGCCAGCACTTGAATGCATTCAGCTTCTTTCACCATGTGCTCTACACACACTTTCTTGATGTAATGCACCAAGATTGGGAGAACAGTGGTTAATTCACTGGCAGCGCACCTGAAGTTGCTGCCTTTTCTGTGTTTTTGCACTCTCTCATCTGTAAACAGCTTTTGCACATTGATGCCACTCTGTTTCCACTGGCCTGGGATGGCCCACAGACCAACATAGTCTCCAAAGTACTTCCAGCGGTCCATTTCTTCCATGAGGTTATATACGCCAATGGATAAAATCCCATTGGAGCACAAACAGTGC